CGTGACAAATTCCTTCATTTCTCACCATTTCAGTCATGGCATCAACGGAGGAGGAAGAGATCCCTGCCTCTTGGCAAAAACACAAAAGAAAAGGCCAGATCAGGGATGAAGAAGGGGAATTTAATACATTGGTGTCGCATACAAAACAGTCCGTCGCTGGGCGGTTTATTGTGCGACACCGCGTACGTGCATGCGGTCGTAAAAATTTTAGCTTTGCACGGACATGCCCTGGGGGGTACGCTCGTACCTCCACGTACGTACGTGCGTACCTCTGCGTATGGATGTACGCGGCAGTATACTGGGGGCTTTAGTCTCCCTCCCTCCACCTCCCTGGGCCCCTCCCTATAGGGAGGTGCTCTGGACATGTTCAACTGGGAGGAACCCCGGGGAAGATCCAGGACATGCTGGAGAGACTACGTCTCAGCTGGCCTGGGAACACCTTGAAGTCCTACAAGAGAAGTCAAAAGAGGTGGCTGTGGAAAGAGAAGTCTGGGCCTCCCTACTCAAGCTGCTGCCCCGAGACCAGACTACAGAACAAGCAGAAGATCATGGATGGATGGATGGATGAACAAATACACAAGCATTATCAAAAACGATTATGGTCTGCATTTGTCTTTCTGTGATAAGAAAAAAATAGAACATTTGCTTGATAAATAGTTTATTTGTTACATAATTATGTAAAATTCAAAAGCACCGTAAAATATTTAAAATATTTTGGTTTTATTCAGTAACTGGACTTACAGTTGACGGTGATGTCTACAGTCTGAACATCTGTGCCGATACCATTGACAGCTGTGCATTCGTATGTCCCTGCTCCCTGTCTGCTAATAGATGAGATTTTCAGCAACTCCTCTTCTGATGCCAGGTCTTCTGTGAAGGATAGAAAAGACAAAGGTGTAGAAAGTGGTGGCAACTGGAAAATGTAGGCAAGATCCCAGACCCCAGGATTCACCCTAAGATTTCATATTAGGTTAAGTTTTGAAAATATAACACATATTAGAGCAATATGGTTTAACAAACTGTGACGTCTGTATTTTATTTTGAGTTAAAGGTTAATGTACGATTGTTCTCTTCAGGTCGAGGGTGAGGTTCTGCCTCAAGTGGAGGAGTTCAAGTATCTCTGGGTTTTGTTCACGAGTGAGGGAAGAATGGAGCGTGAGACAGACAAGACAGATTGGTGCAGCATCTGCAGTATTACGGACTCTGTACCGGTCCGTTGTGGTGAAGAGAGCTGAGCTGTAAGGCAAAACTCTCTGTTTACGGGTTGGTCTACGTTCCTACCCTCATCTATGGTCATGAGCTTTGGGTAGTGACTGAAAGAATGAGATTGCGGATACAGGCGGTTGAAATGAGTTTTCTCCGCAGGGTAGATGGACTCTCCCTTAGAGACAGGGTGAGAAGTTCAGTTATTTGGGAGAGACTCGAAGTAGAACCGCTACTCCTCCACGTCGAGAGGAGCCAGTTGAGGTGGTTCGGGCATCTGGTAAAGATGCCACCTGGGCGCCACCCTAGAGAGGTGCTTCGGGCATGTCCAACGCAGAGGAGACCCCGGGGAAGACCCAGGACATACTGGAGAGACCATGTCTCTCGGTTGGCCTGGGAACGCCTTGGAATCCTTCCAGAAGAGCTGGAAGAGGCTGTGGAAAGAAATGTCTGGACCTCCCTGCTCAAGCTGCTGCCCCCGCAACCTGACTTCAGAATAAGCAGAAGATAATGGATAATGTACTATGGTAGGCTGAAGTCTGTTTACTTTTGTATTTATATATTTTGAATCATTTGTCTGTGATGGACTGGAGACCTGTCCAGGTGTCCCCAGCCTCTCGCACAGTGATGGCTGGATATGGGCACCAGCGACCCCCGTGACTCGAAAAGGAAGAAGTGGGTAAAGATAATGGCTGGATGAATAATTTGTTCCTAAATTTTTTTTGTTTGTTTGTTTTTTAGAAAAATCCAGGCAGCTAAGCTAATCGAATACTGGTAATTTAAGTTACAGAATGTTATGCACTCAATTCAGTTCAACCATCCATCCATTATCTTTACCCACTTCTTCCATTTTGGGTCACGGAGGTCACCGGTGCCCATGTCCAGCAATCACTGTGCGAGTGGCGGGGTACACCCTGGACAGGTCGCAAATCCATCACAGGGACACATAGAGACAAACGAGACAAACAACCATTCACTCTCTCACTCACACCTAGGGACAATTTAGAGTTACCAATCAGCCTAACATGCATGTTTTTGGTCTGTGGGAGGAAACCGGAGTACCTGGAGAAAACCCACACATGCACGGAGAGAACATGCAAACTCCACCCAGAAAGGCCCCTGGACCGGGGTTTGAACCCGGGACCTGCTCGCTGAGAGGCAGCAGCTCTACCAGTTGCGCCACCGTGCTGTTTCTTTATATAGCTCCAAATCACAACAAAGTTGTCTCAGGGCACTTTACAGGAACATTCACATACATAAAAAAGCCAATTAGTAAAGTTCTCTATCTAAGGAATCCAGCAGACAAGTTGAATCTTGGCTTCATTGCAGTCTCCCATCCTGAGCAAGCACAGTGGCAACAGTGGAAAGAAAAACTCCCTTTTAAAAGGAAGAACTCTCCAGCAGAACCAGCTCAGGACAAGCGGCCATCTGCTTTGACCGGCTGGTTGAGAGGACAGGAAGGAGAGACAGACGAACACAGAAAGTTAGGTCCAGGTATAGGTCCAGGTGTACCTGAAAAACAAAAAAAAACACATGTTAAGGATAGAAAAAATAATTACAAATACAAAACAGGTTGAGCAGAGTAAGTAAAGACTGGAGCAGAGTGAAAAAGTGTGGTCAGCTTGTCCTCCAGCAGTCTAAGCCTATAGCAGCAGAACTAAGGGACAGCTCAGGAAACCCAAGCTGGCACCTGTGTCCAGTTTCATTCCTTTTTGTCTCTCTAAACAGATCACACTTGTAAATGAGTCTTCTAGGCTCAACGTGATTTATCTGTCTAAATAAAGGTTGAATTAATGAAAAAACATATAAGATGCAATGTAATAGATGGCCAATCTCCAAGATCCCATTTTTTTTCAAAGCTTCTTGAAAAAGTAGTAGCTGAGCAGCTAATCGCTCACATGGAAAGACATGAGATTTTTGACAAATTTCAGTCTGGGTTTCAAAAGCTCCACTCCACAGAGACTGCTTTACTTAAAGTTTCCAGTGATATTTTGATGTCAGCCGACTCTGGAGAATCCAGGGTGATGGTTCTCCTAGATCTAACATCTGCTTTTGACACTGTTGAACTAGGGATACACCGATCCACATTTGTCACTTCCGATCCGATCCCAATACCTAAATCTAAATATCAGCCAATACCGATCCAGTTCAGATATCATCATCATCATTGATTTTATATGAGGTTGTAATAATTTCCTCTCAAGTACAATTTGTACAAATATATGCATGCATGTCCAAAAAGGCAACTTGAGGTAAGTTTTATTAATGTTGGATAAGTTTCAAAGTTAGAATTAAATTCTGCTAACACAAAACGTTTCTTTTTATTCCTAGCTTTAACGTGGATATTCAAGTGATTAATTTAAGTAATTGTTTAAAGTTGTTTTATATTTTTTAAATAAGGGGCAGATAAGATTTTTCTTCTTTCTGCGCTCTTTTCATTCAATGTTTTCTTTTTGATGAATTTGTTTCGTTTCTTTTAAATGAATGAATAAATGAATAAAATAAAATGTTAAATGGCTTCAAACATCTGCTAAGTTCATGGCATAAACCAACAGACATGTTTCTGTTTTTAGTATTTTACATCACTTTATAATGTAGCTGTTTTTGTTTTGTTTATATATACAGTATATATATATATATATATATATATATACTGTATATATATATATATATATATATATATATATATATATATATATATATACTTTTCTTGTAATTTTCAAATCATATGTTTTTTATGATTGTCTATTGTTGTACTGACAAATATCTCCTAGAGGGTAAACTATATCTTGGCTGCAAGTATCAAGCTGGAAAATCCTTTGTTTTCTACAACTGATAGTGGTTGGTCAATAATTACGATGAAGTTTAGCAACTTCTCTGTAAACATTTGAGCTCCGGGGCTTCAGCGATGTCTTCTTCTTGTTCAATCTGAAGCAGGCAGTCTGATCTCGGTCAGCCCCGTTCAGTCTGCCCCTCCTCCGACAGGGACAGACTGAGCATGGCTGAACGAAATCAGACTGCCTTCTCTGGACTGAATGAAAATAACAGACCGTTGAAGTTAAATTAAAGTTAAATAAAGTTTACTTGCTTACTTACTTACTTAGATGGAGCTAGGTTGTTGAGAGATTTGTAGGTTAGAAGTAGGATTTTTAATTCTATTCAGGATTTGACAGGGAGCCATTGGAGAGAAACTAAAACTGGAGCAATATGATCTCTCCCAGTAACTCCAGTTAAGACTCTGGCAGCAGCATTTTGGATCAACTGAAGACGTTTTAAAGAAGTATTTGGACACTCAGATAATAAACCATTGCAATAGTCCAGTCTAGACGTGACAAATGCATGGACCAGTTTTTCTGCATCATCTTTAGATCAGATGTTTCTAATGTTAGTGGTATTACGCAGGTGGAAGAAGGAGGTTCTAGTAAAGTTTTTATTGTGGGGGATAAAAGACATGTCCTAATCAAAAATAACACCAAGATTTTTAACATTAGAGCTGGAGGACAGATTAATGCATCTAAGGAGGGAGAAAGACTGAAAAATTAATTCCTAAGGTGCTCAGGTCCAAAAACAAAAACCTCAGTCTTGTCTGTTCAACAGGAGAAAATTAAGGGTCATCCAGGTTTTTATGTCTTTAAGACATGCTTGTAGTCTAAGTAGCTGATTGGATTCATTGGGTTTAATGGACAAATATAACTGTGTGTCATCAGCATAACAATGAAAATGGATCCCATGTTTTTTTAATAACTTTACCTAATGGAAGCATATATAAAGTAAAGAGTATTGGTCCAATCACTGAGCCCTGAGGAACTCCATGACTAACTTTGGTGTATGAAGAAGATTTATTATTTGCATTTACAAACTGGAATCTATCAGATAGATATGATTTAAACCATTTTAGAGCCGTTCCTGTAATCCCAACATCATATTCAAGCCTCTGTAGTAAAATATTGTGATCAACTGTATCAAATGCAGCACTGAGGTCTAACAGGACCAGTAGAGACACAAGTCCATTGTCTGAGGCCATGAGAATATCATTAGTGACTTTTACTAGTGCTGTTTCTGTGCTATGATGAGTTCTAAACCCTGACTGAAACTCTTCAAACAGATTATTTCTTTGTAGATGTTCACGCAACTGACCTGCAACTATTTTCTCTAGAATTTTTTAGATGAAAGTTAGATTAGATATAGGTCTATAGTTGGCCAGAATTTCTGAATCAAGATCAGACTTCTTAAGTAAAGGTTTAATTACAGCAACCTTAAAGCTCTGTGGTGCATAATCATTCATTAAAAACAAATTAAGTAGATCCAAAATGTGGACATTAATTAGGGGAAATACCTCTTTAAACAGTCTGGTTGGGATGGGATCTAGCAGACATCTGGATGGGATCTAGCAGGCATGTGGATGGTTTGGATGAGGTTATTATTTTTGACAATTCAGAGTTCAACAGGACAAAAACTGTCCAAACAGAAATCAGGCTCTAGTGAAATTTTTAAAGTTCGAGATAGTAGAAGGAAAGATGGTTTGAATTTTCTCTCTAATTGAAATAATTTTATTTATAAAAGAATCTCATAAAGTCATCGCTACTTATAGTTGTAAGGATACATAATTCAACAGAAATGGGACTTTTAATTAGTCTAGCAATAGTACTAAACAGAAATCTAGGGTT